AGCTAGGTTAGACATTCAAGTTGAGTGACACAACATTACATACTACAAAGCCCAAAGAGAAACTTTAGATCCACTTGGAAATACTTGAACAGCAATCCTATCCAAAGAGGGTAATATAGCATACGATATCAACAAATCACTTGTGAGATGGTTCCCTTCGCTACCTGCCACATGATCCACAACGCATTTTATAGAGGTGAATGAAATCTCTAAAAAAAGATTCTCAAGAATGAAGTCCAACTTTTGAAAGTGGCATGATTGTGGGCTCCGAAAATTCGGCCCCGGCCTCCGCATCGCTCTTTCTTTTATTTCGGCGAGGGAGTTTTAACGAACTAAGTTCCGGGATAAATTTTGGAAGGCAGATGGGTTTGTAGATAAGACACTACCCAGAGATTTCGCCCTCATTTTGCGAGGACTTTATGATCTGAGTTCTGATTTCCTATAGGCGCAAGCCCCTATAGTTAATTACCCCTCCCGATCACGAGAGAGAACTTTCGATTAAGGCTAGTCGTCAATCAGATACGTAAAGATACGTGGTATCTGGCATATAGTAGCAGCAATGAATATGGATTGGAATTCGGCAGATAGCTAAATAGGGTACTCTATCCAGCAACAACCAAATAATCAATAAGCAATCAATGTAGCATACTCCTTGCGCCTTCAACCAACAATAGCAGGATCGGAGATCCTATTCCTTCCAGACATTAGTTTCCTTATTACAATGGCTGAGATGTATGTCAAACTAAGAAATTGCCTATTGCAATTTTGTCTGCTACACCGAAAATAAAAAAGACCAGTGAAATTGCTCACTATGTTAGTGGATAACCGTGAGGAATCAAAAATAATCACAGGGATGACTCAAAGATAATCACAAAGAGAAATCAAAGAATAAAAATATCAAAATAATGGCTTGAGGTTGGCAGTGCTCCTTGAATTAAATTTTAATATTTAAGTATCAAATCTCCAAATTAGTTGATTTTTCCCCCATAATGGGAAGAACCCTAACTTGCTGCTTTGGGCCGTTTTTTCCCGAAACTTCAAAGATCGACTATGTAGAAATCCCAAAGGAATTGAGATATAATTGCCTGGGATAATTAGGTTAGACATTCAAGTTGAGTGACACAACATTACATACTACAAAGCCCAAGGAGAAACTTTAGATCCACTTGGAAATACTTGAACAGCAATTGTATCCAAAGAGGTTAATATAGCATATGATATCAACAAATCACTTGTGAGATGGTTCCCTTCGCTACCTGCCACATGATCCCCAACGCATTTTATGGAGGTGAATGAAATCTCTAAAAAAAGATTCTCAAGAATGAAGTCCAACTTTTGAAAGCGGCATGATGATACCAATACAGAAATTGGCCATGCACAAAAACATCCATGGTGAAGAATGATGAGGTTAAAAAGCTGACTCAACTTCATCGGAGCATTTCACCTGTAAACTGAAGGGCAGATCGTGATGATAATTCAAATATTATAGGGCTTATCGTGGATAAGTTGCCTTAACTTTAGCAGCTTCTGGAGCTCACATCGTTCTTTGATTTAATTTGAGTATGATAATAGCTATCATGCTTGTCTTATTATGGCACTATTTGAGGCCCCATGCGGGTAGAAATGCAAGTAACCTTTCAATTGGATAGTGCCATGAGATAGAAAAATAATCAGACAAAAGCTATCAAAAGAACATAACAAGAAGATTAATTTCATCCGATAGCGACTCCTTGTGATGCAAGGGACAAGGGAAGAAGTATTATGACCCTGGGTGCCATGATGTGTTCAATTTAATATTAGGCACAAGGTATTAATGAATTTAAGCTTGATGCATGGCATATAGAAGCTCAGTTAAGCCGACAAGTTGAAGTAGCGATATATAGGACTTTTCAAAGTTGATCACAAGGTGGGAACTATCGTCTACCAACTATTGTTGCCACTGAAAATGGAAGGCATCAATAATGCTCTAAATGCCTCAAGATCAAAAAGGTATGTGCCTCACTCATTTCTAGTATAGACTCAATGGATTACAAACGTAACCTTACCTTAGCTACAAAGAAGCACTCAATATGATTTTGGACTGGTATGTCCACAACTTTGAACAAATATCACTCCGATGATGAAGGTACTCTAGAAGAAAAAGTGTAGGAGACCACATGGGAATGGAAGTCGACATGCCTATCCAATATATCTACTTATTTGATGATACGGGTAACAATGATTAGGGTAAAATTTCCTTTCAAGATGGTAGAAGAGCCCAAAATTTTACTTGAAATTTTATGCACTTCCTTGCTTGATCTAATAGTCTTGAACACAAATACACTTTAGGATGGCCTCCACCACCACCCTCACCCTCACGCTCACGCCATGCAGATCACCAACGATCCTAATATCAAATATGACTCTAAAGCACTAAACAAAAGTACTAGCAAAAACAAGTAACCCCTATCATGAATTGAAGAATTCATAAATCAACAACAATCATCAACTTAATCATAAATTTTAACTTGACATGCAGCCAACATCATATTTGAGTTAAGGACAACTCTTAAAAAGGTCATCTAACACAAAGTCCTCAAATGGATGGCAATTGAATTTAGTCTTTGTAATGGTCCTAACATCTTCATGAGTAAATCTTTTTTTTGGAAAATTTATGAATGTATGCTTGTATACTGCGACATCATCCTAATGTAAAGCAACACTTGGGAGTCCCATTGCCACCACATTGACCTCATTAAAAAGAGTATTCAGTAAAATATCAGCACAGTTAAACTAAAACTGTGTATGGCTATGAGTCTCACATTTGTTTGCATTAGGTCATTGTAGGGTGGTGCTAAGCTAACAATGGTCCATAGACAAGTACAAGCCATACAGATGGGAACAAACAAAGATACTGATGGGGATAAGAATAGGCATAGATGTTAATTGAAGTGTGAATGGATGTGCATTTGCAACTTCTTCAATGTCTTTATATTTTTACATGGCTCACCAAGCCCAAGAAAAATGTTTGAATAGAGTCGGAATGAGGAGACTTCTGGATTTCAAAAGATTAGGTGGCAGCCATTGAACTAACATAACTACAACTAAAGCGTGGATTAAAGGCACCCATTGAGTTATGCATAAGAGAGTTTTTATTCAGGATGGGTACTCCTGAAAGTATGGGTACTCAATAGCATTTTGAAACATACCGACAAAAATCAAAATCTGTATGCCATTATCTATGCATATTCAACCTTAATAAAGTATCTCCTCAGACTTCTTCGGAGGCTTACAAAGTCTTACAAAGGGTAATGACTATCACCTGTATTGTGGGCGACAAATTCGGCAAGTTTGCATGCCTAATGCCAAGCACTAAGAGCGGACATTTTCCATCAGATTTGATTAAGATATCTGCTTCGTGAACACTCATTAAGCCAGCTATGTTTAATTATTAATATTTGGGTAGAGAGATACCTCCTTACACCCAAAAACGTATGAATAGGCCAAATTGGTTCTCCAAAGAAACACAAATGCCAAGAGATTTTCATGACCTCAAGGTTGAGGCGGTTCAAACCATCAATCAAGCTAAACCCATTGGGGTCATGGCAAGATGGTGAAATTTATCCCATAATTCGCAAAGTCCATGGCACTAGAAGTTTCCATTCTTTGCACCCTCATGACTTGTAGGGTCAAGAAATGAAGTGCAAAATTTTTTCAAGTAATTTTTTGGGATTTTACAAATAATTCATCTCAATTCTAATACAACAAGTGGGGTTAGTCCATAAACTATAATGTCCATCTCTCATTTTTCTCTAAGATTTCATTCATAAGAATTAATGAAGCTAATGATGGGAACCAATATCTAGGAGGCCCTCAAGGTTCTCAAGGGATAGACCATAACTCAGCTGACCGAGCACATAATCAATTCCATCAATCTCCTCCAAAAAGCTACATTAGAGAACAACCTCATAGTCATATCAGCACAGCCAATTACATGAAGAACTAAACTTTGAAGTAATATTGCAAGAGAAATAAACCTGACATTTCCCTACACGGTCAAGTATAGTAACTCTCAGATTGGTTGCAACCCTTCCATGTATTAAAAAAATTCATGCACTTTCAAATGTTCCGTGTAGAGGAGGGTAAGAGCCTATGATTTTATGCCCCTCTAGCTTCTAAGAGTTAAAAAATAAGACCTTAAATGGCCACTACTTTAACCAGTGAATCAAGCCTCTAGTGCATCGGTTATTATTCATATGTGATTTCGGTGAGGCAATATAAACGGGGAAAAAAATTAATACCTTCAACAACAAAAACCAGTGAGAGGTGGGAAGTTTAAAGCAATTTCTGTACAGCATTTCCATAAAAGTCTTTGTATGGTTCGTAAACTAAAAAATTAGAAGGTGAAGTACTTAATTTTATCTATGCATATTGCGAAGAGTATCTTTTACTTTTCCCCAAGGAGTAACAAAATTTTCCAGTTGCTTGTGATGCTATTTTGAAGCCTTCTTCAGTTCACAATATTTTTCTGGTAATAAAACTATATAACAAGATGATGTGTGCCAAATGTAGGACTACTACCATTATTACACAATCAACCACATGATGTACATTGTCATAACATGTAATACTAGTACTCATTGGATGGAACATTTTAACATTCAGATAATTTCAAAGATGTGATAAAGCACAGAACCATCTAAAATGATATTTGGTTGCTGTAATATTATGAAATACAGTATTTATGCATACATGCTAGATCATGGTACACATTTTTTTATTTAGAAGACAACTTAAATCGCCCTAATTTTCTTCCTATGAAATAGATGACAAAAAGGATAGCTGCATAGTTCAACACTAATGGCTTGAACATTTGACTAATTCATCAGAAAGATATTAAACATGCATCTACATAATGGATCCAAAACAACATTGCAAGTGAAAACAAAAAACTTCACCAAGTAAACATTTGAAAATCATAAATAATGTCAAACAAAGCAAAACAATAGAAAAATGCCTACCAACTTTCGAATCAGAACTAGAGGGGAGGAACACAGTTGCATCAGGCACCTGAGTGGCAAAACTAACCACCTCATAAGATTTCCCTACCAAACAACCAATAAAAGCCATGATAAAAATTTCATGCATGGAAAAAGAAAGAGGGCATGTGAAAGTGGGTGCACCACAAGCCTTCCAGCTCACCAGATGAATTCTCAAAGCTTGCTAGTTTTTCATCCCTATGAAGCTTCAGAGAAAGCACCTTCCCATGGAAATCAGCAGGTTGTAACTAAAGTTATACCAATCCATACAGAAGTACAGGTTACAAACAAGTATTTTTAGAAGAAAAAAATCAGAAGCTCAAAAAAAAAATTTACATGATTAATTGGCCATTGAATGAGCCAAAGTTCTGTTGAATCAGACAAGGAAATTGGAAGGACTGGACCTCTATCATCCTCATCGAAATCTGGCCCAGGGTTGTACCTGAAATAAGAAATCCCAAATTTAACATGCATAAATAGCATGAAAGGCAACATGAATAAAACTAAATAAATAAGCCAATTCAAAGATATAAATAAGGAAATAATAATAAGAAAAATACATTAGAACCAATAGGAGGCTTAAAATAAAATAGAAATTCATACCTGTTATTTGAATCGTTATCAGCCATATGTTACTGAAAGTATGTAATATCCTTCTGCCATAAAAAAGCGGGGCTCAAGTGCAGTTGAGTAAAGAATAGTGCAAATCAACATAATAGAAAGAGCCGTCAATTTTAATGCAAGATTGACAAAAACGATAGAAGAAAACTGATGCAAAGCTCAATGGGTGCCTTTAATCCAAGATTTAGTTGTAGTTACCTAACCTTTTGAATATCTAGAAGTCTCGTTCTCATTTCAACTCTATTCAAACATTTTTGTTGGGCTTGGTGAGCCATGTAAGAATATGAAGACGTCGAAAAAGTTGCTAATGCAATTCCACGTACACTTCAACTAACATCTTTGATTGAAGAAATTGTTTAGGGGAAATTGAATACAAATTTAATTCCTTGGAATCATTACATATTTATAGACTCTAGGAGGATAAACAAAAAAAAAGAAAGACTTTTAATCTAATAAATTATAATAAATAGAAGAAAAAAGTCATTTAATCTAATTGATTCTAATAATTATATCCCACAGATCTTGGTTCCAGGAGAGGAAATCTCCAATTGTTGTCCATGGTTGCAGCCCTCGAATTGCTGACCTATCAAAGTCGTGGGCCCGCTCCTTGACATGTGATTCAACACTCCCTCTCAAGTTGGGTTATACAAGTTATACAATCCTAACTTGCAAACAAACTTATCAAGTAGAGAGCCTGGTAGTGCCTTGTTAGAACATCAACAAGTTATTCATGAGTTGAGGTATATACTACTTCAATTTTTGAGTTCTCTATTTTCTCACATATAAAGAGTCCATCAATGGTAACATGTTTTGTTCTGTCATGATGTATTGGATCCTTGGTCATACTAATTGCGGATTGGTTGTCACATTTCCACTTTATCGTTCCTTCAATTTTTATTTCCAAATCAATCAATACTTGATGATCCAAATAACTTCACAAATAGTAATTATTAATGCTCTCAGTTCAGATTTTGCACTGCTTCTGGAAAAAACATAATGTTTCTTGCTTCTCCATGTCACTAGGTTCCCCCACACAAATGAACAATATCCTGTAGTCGATCGACTGTCAACCTGACCACTTGCCCAATCTGCATCAGAATAAAGGATCAATTTCCTATCTTTATTTTTCTAGAATAATACCCCATTCCAGGAGTGTTCTTGAGATATCTCAATATTTGATATACTGCCTCCATGTACTCCTTCATAGGATTACTCATATATTAGCTCATCATGCTCACAACAAACCCAATATCTGGATGGGTGTGGGAGAGGAATACAAGTTTTCATACCAGACATTGATATCTTCCTTTATATACTGGAACCACCTCCTTTTCCATCCCAAGTTTCTTCTTTAGGATCCATAGGTGTACTGGTTGGTCAGCATCCTAACAGGCTGGTCTCCTTCAGTAGGTCTAAGGTATACTTGCGTTGGGAAACAAATATACACTTGCTTGATCGAGCTAACTCCATACCAAGGAAGTATCTAAGTAATCATAGATCTTTAACTTCAAACTCCTTAGACAGAGCCTGTTTGATCTTTATTATTTTCTCTATATCATTTCCAATAAGGATGATGTCATCCACATATACAATCAATTTTGCTACTTGTTTCTTTCTGACTGCTTCACAAACAATGTATGATCTGTCTGCCATTGTCTAAAACCATGGCCTTTTACATAATTTGAAAATCTTCCAAACCATGCTCTAGTAGATTACTTCAATCCATACAAGGATTTCAACAGTTTACACAATTTGTCCCTTCCATACGACTTTTGAATCCCCATTTGAATCTCTATGTGGACTTCTTCGTTTAGGTTCTCATTCAACAATGCATTCTTGATATCTAGTTGATGTTGGGGTCAATCTAAATTTGTTGCTAAGAAAAGAAGAATCCTGATGTTGTTGAGCTTTGCAACAAGAGCAAAAGTTTCCTAATAGTCTATTCCATAAGATTGAGTGAATCCTCTTGAAACCAGTCTAACTTTCAACCTCTCAACACTATCATCCTCCTTATGCTTTATGGTGAACATGCATTTGTAGGTCGCAACTTTCTTTCCGGGGGGATTCGTAATTACCCATATTTGATTTTTCTCCAAGGACATAATTTCTTCCTTAACAGCATGTCTCCATCCTAGGTGATTCAAAGCTTTCTGAATATTAGTCGGAATCAATGTTTAAAATTGTGTATTCGGGTATTGAGGCGTTTTTCGTTCGTAAGGTGAGGCGTAAGCCTCAAAATCAAAAAATTGCGTAAACATAAAATAATAAATTTTGTATATATTAATGAGTAAAATAATATATAAAACATAAAAATGCTACTTACCACATCTTTGAGAATAAATAAGGGAGACATATCACATAAGAACTCACTAGTCATCAGATGTGGATGCTTTAAGACCATCAAAGAAATCAACATTTAAATCTTCATCTTGTAATTCAGACGGCATCACTTCAACTTCATCATCTACAAACCACTCATCATCAGATGCCACATCATCGCAAAGCAAAGGATCTTCATCATCCATTAATCCTTTTTTCTTCAAATTTCTATCTCTGAGTCTCCTATTATACATAATGTACACCAGTGAGTTCATCCTCAATGTCGACAAGCGATTTCTCCTCTTTGTATGTACTTGGTTGTAGGTACTCCAATTTCTTTCACAGTCATATGAAGAGCATGTCAAGCCCAAAACTTTCACAGCAAAACGTTGTAATTCTGGAGTCCCATCACCAAATTGAATCCACCACTCAACTGGAGATCGTTTGACAATTGTATCTTTTGCTTGTTGTAATCCAAAAAAACCTTCTTTGTTCCTAAAAGGTACTAATTGCAAGTCAGCATTTGATCTTTCAATTGCATCACATATTAGATGATCCATGCAATGATATAATCCCAACTTTATTTCAGGGTTTGTAGACTTGTTCTCTGCATATTGATACTGAGGGTTTAGGTAGTAGCCAGCGGCATGCAAGTGTCGGTGAAGCTGTAATTCTCACCTATCATCAATAATATTCCAAATTTCTCTAAAGCTTCCCTCACTGCCTCCTAAGTTGGAGGCAATCATCTATTTGGCTTCATCCATGGCATTGTAGATGAAACCCATTGCAGGCTTCTTCTCAGCATCCACCATCCTTAAAACATGAACTAAAGGTCTAGTGGTTGTAACGGCATATAAGACACTTTGCCAAAATCTGTCATTTAAAACAATCTTTCTAATCTCTTTTCCCTCAGCCTTCTTCGCCCAAGCACAACTCAACCACTGTGTAGATGTGAACATAGCCTCTAAAGGTTGTCTGGCATCCAACATGCTCTTAAGAGATTATTGGCAAGTTTGATTGGTTAGAAGGACCGTACTCGGGTGGTGGATCTAAAATACACACTACAAATCCCAAAGAGAGATTTTAGATCCACCATTGAATAGTTTTCAGTATTTAATAACCCTGAATATATTCAGATCGCATCCAAACAGCCCCGACATGATATGTGCCACAGGATTACGCTTAGATAAAGGAACCTGTTGTTTTTCCGAAAAAAAAAAAATAAATTCTAAGTTCAATCTTTCCATAACAACACAAAATAAAGCCATCAAAGAAGCATTTTACGCGATAAGAAACAGACTTCAAATAATATAGAAGATAGTTCCTTCATTTTACTGTTAGCGGTTGTTTGTATACAAGATTTCTGAGGATTTATACTAAACACTGTCAAACGGGATTTGAGGATATCTTAAATCTCACGGTGAAATAAATCCTCTGTTTTCCTCTTTTGCCGCAAATCCGAGAGTTCGGCTGATTTGCTTTGCGCAAAAGTGGAGAAAGACGTTTACCTTGACAGCGAGCGAGCTCCCGTCATTACTATCGCTCCAACAGGAACATTTTCGAAATGTCGTGACTGCCGATCTGAAAGGAAGGAAACATCGTCGAAGGAGCCGAAGACACGACTCGTTGCAGCAAAGTCGAACAGCAATGAAGAGCGGAGCGGAAGAATCCACTCGTACGCGAAGGAACGAAGTCCTACAGCAATGAGAAATAGAGAAGTGGAAAAGCAAACCTAGATGCCTCCTAATGCTGTTAGGAAGAAAATAAATTAATTCCTAATCTTTTAATTAAAATTTAATTTAATTAATTTAATTAATTTGAGAACTGACTGTGTAAGTTATAAGTAATTAGTTAGCGATAGAATACTTAAATAAATAATTTATTAAATATTAGCGTAATAAGAAAATTTTAATTTTATCAAAATAATATCAAAAGAATTAATTAAACAATTGATAGTATAAGTAGAAATTAAATAATTAGTTATTTAATTTAATTAATTAGATAATTATCAGTGTTGAAATATCATCAACAATCATCTCAATCAAGCACGAACCTCAACATATATTTAAATTAGAAACTTTCAAAATTAAATTTGGGATCATCTGAACTCTGATTTCAGCAAAATTATTGTCAAATTAAACATCACGATGAGACGAACTACCAACATAAAAAAATATTCAAATATGAGCCCAAATAGATCCAAATTAAAGGCTTGAAACATATTTGGAAGCCTTAGGACATTAATTGGTCAAATAAATAGTATTCAAATTTAGCATTCTTATAATAGAAAAAAGCAATTTGATTAGACAAATCTGATAAGCCCAAAATTGCATGAGTTTGAAACTATTTAGACACATAAATGTTGAAGAAATAATTTATGGTCGAAGGAATCAATACAGGACCTCCGCTAAAGACAAATCCAATCTACTACAATCACTCTAACTAACGTCGCCCAACTACAGTCTCTCTAATCTCAATCGTCCAACTAAGGTCCCGTAGAACAATGTCACCAAATTAGGTTCTCTCCCTCCATCGTCGCTTGCCTACGTTCTCATTGATCACTGATATCTGGCTATGAACCTCCGACCACTGTCATAGAACTACAGTCCTCCAATCACTATCGTCTGACTTCAGTTCTTTGACCACCACCCGAGTACGGTCCTTCTAACCAATCAAACTTGCCAATAATCTCTTAAGAGTAACTGTCATGCCATTGGTTTCTTCTAACTCCAACCATATAATATACTCTATATAATGTATATTTTTTATGTTGTGCTAATGTCTTCCTCCTAGGAAGGGTATCATTTATAATCAACAACAAACATTGGTGGAATCCTCGTGGATTTTTCCATTCTAGGGGTTTTCCATATAAAAAATTTGGTCTCTTATGATTCTTGCACCTCCTATTTTATCTGTGTGCTTGATCACACAAAACCTCAAATACTAGCTATGATGGATTCTACACAAGTGTATGTGTCGTATTAAGTATTATAGAAGTTAGTTGAGTATCATTCCCAGGAGGATATTACTAATCTCAATAATAATTTATTACTACTTCAACTAATTGCTATATTTATTTTCTCACAAGATTAAAGCTTTTTACAAATGAAAGCAAACAACATAAAATTTTCTTGGAAGAAGTTCTATGTTACATGAAGTTTAAACTTATGATAGATAGGGGCTTCTATGTATTTAAAGTGGCCTGCTATAAAAGTGTTATGAATCAGAGAAATGTTGACTCTTTATCTCTGTTGAGTTCATTGGACACTTTAACAAAATCAAACTTCACTACGATTGAACTATCTTCTTAAAATTTTCAAAGTCCTAAACCATCATGTCTATACTTGAAAGTACTCCAATCTAATTCCCCTATTTGTTCCACAACGCTTGCGTCGAGGACATAGATCACACTATATTTTAATTTTGTGCATGGCTTATGCACAAATTAAATGAAGTTCAAAGAAATCATAAACAATAATGAAAAGTTTTAAACACTTACACTTATTCTATGTAACAAATGTATTCCTATCAGATCATAAGCCTAGAGAGTAATTTAGCCTATCATTGTAACCAACATAAACATGAAAAGTTTCATTGAAAATATAAGAACAAGTATAAGAATAGAGTAAAAAAGAAGATAGAACCAGATTCTCCTTTGCAAAAACAATTACAAAAACTTCAATGCCCTCCGATCCATCTCTCCTTGTTCACACACACACTCAGTACTGGACTCCCCTAGAACTAAGCACAATTGACAAAAATGGTCATCCCCCCTTCATAAATTCAGCCAAACTATTTAGATGAAAAATAAATAATTGACACTGATATCGAGACGCTTCAAGGTAAGGCACCATGGTATTGGGCACTTTCTTCATTTTTGCTTTTTCTTTAAAAGTTTTCAGCACAAAATTATAAAGGAACTTTTAATGCAAAAATAGGATAACTTAAACTTAAAAAACAAACTATATTGGATCTCCATATAAAGCTAATATAATGATTCCAAGGAATAAAATTTGAATTCAATTTTCCCTAAATAATTTCTTCATGTTATCAGAGTTTGGGAAAATCCTTAGCCTTCTTTGAGTGTCGGCGGCAAACCTTCCTCAAACCCCGGAGGTAACTCTCCATCATCCTGCTTATAGCCTCTTTTCAAGCACCGGTGGCCCTTGCCCAAGTCGAGTCGAGGGGTGTAACGGAGTCGAGTCGAGTCGAGTATCTACCTTATCAAGCCTGACTCGTTTAAACCTTAATGAGCTTGAACTCAAGCTCGAGTTCAAGCTCGGTTAGTGAGCTCGAGATCGACTCGTTTAGAGAATACCAAGCTCGAGCTTGACTCGAAAGCTCAAACTCGTTTGAAAAGCTCGAGCTCAGCTTGTTTAATTGGCTTGAATTTTTAAATGTAAATCAAAATTTTCTTCTTCTTTTTTCTTAAATTTAGTTCTAGAAGAAATCAATATATAGTGAGCAATCATCTTCCTTTAAAAAATTTTGATCAATATCAAATGCAACTTTTATACAATTAAGTACAATAAAAACTCTGCTATTAGTAATTGTTTTTTACAATGCACACACTCTCCCTTTCTTTGCCCAGCAGGAAGAATAACTTCCTTAAAGGCTTAAACTCATGCCAAACTTTAGATTTTTTTTTCCTTTTATTTCTTCCTATAACATCATCAGCTTCTTCAATATAATTCACTTCATTTTCATTAGTCCACTTTCAACCTCTTCATCAATCTCAATATTATCATTATATGTATTATTCTCATTCGCAGGATGACAACCAACATAAGAGTGAAGATCATCATCAAGTCTTCTTGTCTCAGTATTTACATGCTCAATACTATTCTCATACTTAATGGTGTTGACATTCTAAAAAAAAAAGATAGCATTGCCAGGATTATAATAAATACAATCAAATTCAAATAGTAATAATATGAAAATGTTAGATCTCAACCATTAGTACAATTAAATTAAAATACTATTATAAATTTTGAGAATGATTACAATATAATAAAATCCTTTACGAGCTCAAAATTCTACATAAACATGTTCCAATAAATTTTGAGAAGAAATAAATGCTAATTATCCACATAAACAGAAATATGATTACAAAAAAGATCAAACAAATCTAATTCAACTTAATATTAAGCCTAAACATTATTACGAAGAATAATTTATTCTCTTTAAAATGAATATAAAAACCTTAAGAAGCTGAAATAAATATTAATTATTTAAAATGGCATGCGAGTGTGACCTGCACTGAAAGTCTGAAACTCACCTAACAGACCACACTATCTTTCATTATTTAATATTTACTTGTTCAGATACTGAACCATAAGCACACAATGACACAATAAATAATGATCTAGGCATCATCTTGACAACCTTTTAACCGTTTAAACTTTAAGGGGCTGTTTGGTATCGGATTTATTCCCGGATTTAAGTCGGATTTACGCTAAATCTAGCCAAACGGTTTTTGTGCACTCGTTAAATCCCGGGATTCCGTAAATCCCGGATTTAGGGATTTACGGCTTAAATCCCAGATTTACTAAATCCCTCTGTTCGGCGGATTTAACGGGATTTAGCCGAAGAAGCGCGCGAAAGGGAGAAAGTTACCTTCACAGCCAGCGAGGTCCCGTTCTTGCTTCCGATCAAAATGTCGAACTTTCCGATCCGACAGGAAGGGAAAGACGTCGAAGGAGCGAAGTTGAACAGCAACGTAGGAAACGAAGAAGCGACGCATGCAATCTCTACACCTCCTGCGAAGCAAGGAAGCCTAACAGCAACGACTAAAGAGAAGATGAAAGGCAAACCTAGACGCCTCTAAGTTATTATTGATTAACTTAATTAATATATTTTAAAATATTTATAAATAAGTAAAATAATTAATAATTAATTGTATAATTAGTGCATAAATTTATTATCTAATTTAACTTAAAAAGAGATTACCAAATGATGTGGGTTGGATCGTTGGAAGAAGAGAATGCTTGAAGGATTTAATCCCAATCAAAGATTAAAGAAAGATAAATACAAGCTCCATTCCTCTTAAATATATATATATATATATAATCAAGTAGCTTGATAAGCTTTCGAGTCGGGTTGAGCTCGATAATAAGCTCGAGCTCGAATCTCGATAAGCTCGGTTCACGAGCTCGTTAACGAGTAGAGTTCGAGCCGGCTCACGAGTCGGCTTGGCTCACTTACACCCATATGCCAAACAACCCCTTTACGGTTAACTTGAAAAATGGAAGAGGACATTATGACTCAAATAAATATGAAAATGAAGGCATTCTAACCTCAGAAAGTTACTTGAGGAAAAAGAAGAAGAACAAGCTGAACCCCCCATCATTAGAACTGGAGCCATTAGTCTCAATGTCTCTGATGCAAAATGGGGAATATTTATACCTAGGATTCTTGAGATAAAAGGAGTGAAGATAGCATGAGAGACAAGAAAAATATCCAAAAACCTGAAGAGATTTTTGAACTTGCATTACAATGGGCAACGATAGCCAAAGGAAATTAAAACCTAGGTAAAAGACGTTCTCGTCAATCAAACCACAACAATGAAGAAATTCAATTATATATTTCGCACACCTTCGCTATTACTAAATCAGGCTTTTGTAATACTTTTTTTTACCTATTGCAGTGGTTAAAATCCTTGATAAATTTATTGTAGCAGTGTAAAAATCACTGTAAATCCATTATATTTATTATCACAGGAAATAGATTCCCCTACGCTTTTCTAAACCACTGCATTAGATACAAGTTTTATCATAGTTATTTTTGAAACTATTAAACCGCTATAGTTATGTTCAAATTCCACTATAGTAGTAGTAAAGACCACTACGAATATGCAACGATAGGCCAATTGTAGCGGTTAAAACCGCTACAATTATTTGCATTTTTTTAAAAAGAAATTGATAAGAAAGTGGCACCGATTTGATTCATCATTAACAATTTACAATCAATCACAAACTTCAAAGTTCAATCATATTAGAGCTCTAAAATAATAAATTTATATATCTAATCAATAAAAAGCCATAACACACTAATCTCAAAGTGTTACCAAAATAAAACTAATCAAATTCAAATCATAATATTTTTGTCTGATTTTGTTTAAAGCTAATTCATCCACACAAATTTTACACTATCAAAACATAACTAATTTCTCTTGTGTAGATCAGGGGCGGAACCAGCCTTTCATCTTAGTGGGGGGCAAAATTTTCTTATTAATAGATAAATATTAAAAAAAACAAAATGAGAATATAATTCAAAATGAAGTCTTCCATTCCAATATGATAGATAAATTAAAAAACCATTACAATTTTATCAATCTATTTTGCATCTTTTGATAATATTGGATTACATCTTTATTGAGAATCATATCAAACACATCTTTTTCAATGTAAGGCACAAGGCAATCGTTCAACCAATCATCACCCATCCTACTATGCAATCGATATTTGATAATTTTCATGGCTGAAAATGCTCTCTCCACTGTAGCAGTAGCAACTGGTAAAGTTAATGCTAAAATAATAAGTCTGTAAACTAGAGGATACACGTCATTCTTCTTGAACTTAACAATCTGCTTTGCAAGATCATCAATGCTTCTTAGAGAGGAGAACTCTTCAATAGTCTGCATATCAATAATGTACGTTGATAATTGACTTTTAAGAGCAACAATCTCAATTATAGAAAAATCACTTGGATATAGCTCTGCTAGACATATCAATTTCCTCTCATCGTAAGCATGAAATGAATCGCTTGGGTTTAAGCATGACACATAAAGAAGTAACTCAGTACTTGATTCAGAAAAGCGATTATTTAGCTCTTGAAGTTGCATGTCAACTACAGTATAAAATAGATCAACACGATAATGATGTAAATTTGTTTTATCTTCACCTCTTTTCACTGATCGACGATGAGTTTTGTATATTTCATTCATATTTGGAATAACAACTTCAAAAACACCACAAAAATGTGACACTTCATCTAGTAAAGCATTCCATCCATTCTCCCTTAGTAGTTGCAGTCGTTGTTTAGAAATTTGAACCAATTTCATTTTATTTTCAATGTCTTGATCTTTCCTCTGCAATGATTGTGATAACTCATTCGTAATACCCAATATATCAATCATCAGATGCATTATAAAAATAAAATCAAAATACTCCATTATATCAATCAGAACATCCGCTTCAACCGATTGTTGATCATGAACCACTTCTTCTTTAATAATCTCTAGCACCTCGATCACAGAAGCATACATACGCATAAGACTAATCAAAGAGTGAAAATGTGAACTCCAACGAGTATCACTAGATTTCTGCAAATTTATCTCTTGATTCAAACCTTTGCCACTTATGAGATTGCCATTTTTAAGATAAAGAAGTATTTTATCATGCTGAATACATTTAATAGCATCCGATCTCTTACAAGAAGCCCCAATAGTATTAATAATTCTATAACTGAACTCAAAAAGATGTTTAACTTGCCAATGATTCTTTGTCACTGCCACCAAACATAATTGGAGTTGATGAGCGAAACAGTGAACATAAAATGCTTGAGGATTATCTTTCAGAATTAGGGCCTTTAAACCATGAAATTCTCCTCGCATATTGGATGCCCCATCGTAACCTTGACCACGCATCCTTTGTATGCTCAACGAGTGTTTGGCTAGAATGTCTTCAATGGCTGCCTTCAGTGTAACTGCATTAGTGGATGTGACATGTTTGATGCCTATAAATCTTTCAATCACTTGGTCCAACCTATCTACATATCTCATAGAAATAGCAACTTGTTCTTTCGTAGAAACATCACGGGATTCATCAACTATAAGTGAGAAGTACGAGTTGTCAATATCTTTCATGATATATGTTAAAGTTTGAGCTGATGCATCAACACATATTTCTTTCTGAACTTTTGGTGAATTTAACTTCAGATTTGAGTTGGCATATGCAGATGTTACTGTCTTAATTTTCTCATTATGATCAGCTAGAAAGTCAAATAGCTCTAAATAATTTACTCGATTCTCTGAATTGGAAGACTCATCATGCCCACGAAATGATAATCCCGGACGTAACAAAAATCTAACACAATCAATGGCTGCAGTTAACATGATCCTATATTATTTTTTGTTCTTATCATCTTTGCTTAGCCATAAAGCTGGAAGACTGTGTTCTTGATTCTTCATCAAATCTTCACATTTTTTCTATCCTTATTATATATACTATTGTGATCTCCAATGTGGCATAACAATTTCTCTTTCTTCTTCCAGTTTTTGAAACCTTCTCCAATAAATGAATCCCCACCATCTTTCCCTTTAATAATATGCTCTTGAGGTTTAAACAGATAGCAGTAAAGACAAAAAGCAACGTCTTTCTGCACACTATACTCTAACCAATCAGAGTATTCATCAAACCATTTGGGATTGAACCTACGTGCAATATTACCATATAAAGTTTGGGGAAATTGATGACTTCTCGGTTGATGGGGTCCCTTCAATAGATATGATCTATGAATCTTATCTCTATCATTTACTTCATAACTCCAAATAGGAAGTCGGAGTCCTGGATCTGCTAGGGGATTGTTAATATCAACTTCTACTCGTTCTTTTCTCTTTAAATAACGCTCCATTTATTTAATCCTAGAATGAAATTTAATTACAAAAAAAGAGCAACCATTAATCAAAATATTTACATCATAACCTTAATATGAATTTTAACCCACAAAAATATTAACTTACAAATAGAAACTCAACAAGTTTTCTGGAGCTATTGAAAAGAAAGAGAAAAAATCTATAAGAGAATTTATCTACACGTGGTTGATAGAACTTAAGTTGAAACTTGAAAGGAACATCGACAACACATAAAAAATGTGAAAGAAATGTGCTTTCAAGATATAATGAGTTCAAAAGTCAAAACTGGACAAACTAATTAATTTAACCAAACAATAAAATTACTGTTTGATCAACAACAGTCAACATGGATTGGAATTGCAAAGGAAAATCTCAAAGGTAAATAGGAAGATGAGAACTAACAAGATTACTCACCTCTTCCAAAAATCAAAAGCCTTGATGGTAGCGACCAAAATCCTAGCGCTCGATAGATATTGGCTGCTCTGAGACAAAGGATTTCATGATTTAATGATTCGTTCCCCAAATAGTTGAGAATGCTAAAAAAAATAAAATTGCAAGCAGAGTGGCGGAATGAGAACAAAACCTGCAGATCGGAGATCGGCCTGAAGGGTCGAAGGGGAGAAGCTGAACAACCGAAGACAGGTGAGTGATCAAGCGAAGTTTCGAGACAAACGAGCAGCGATTTGAAAGTCACTAGACTCACGAAGGAAGATCCTGCCGAGTGTCGATGGAGAGGGAGACTGGGAGAGAGCGGCTTTCAGAAGACTGCAGGCGTCGGGCGAAATATAAACATAAGAGAAAGCTGGGCTTAGGGAAATTTTTAGTATACTATAATGAAATATTACTAAACAGCCCTTACTATAATATGGCCCCCCCTGGCCATATGCTGATTCCGCCCCTGATGTAGATATAGAATTTGGTGCATAAAACAAATATATAGTGAACAACCTCCATCATATTATCATTCTATCTACAATATCAAAATAATTAAATATGATTATATTAGCAATATTTAATAGATTTTAGCACCAATGATCATCTTACATGAGGGCATCAATCCATTGAGGGCATGTCAATAATAGCTTTAGCCAAAAGCAATTTTCATCTAATATGCAAAACATCATAGTAAAAGAAATGTACAAGTATGAAAATTGGTTCTTATAATAATATTAACTCAGACCAAGTGACATGAATAAATGCATGTGAGTTGGATGAATGAACAAGGAATATTTGACATAATAAGTAACATCAAACTTTGTGACAATCTTGATAATAGAATCCATATTGTTAAACAACTTAATATATATATAACTACTTAGAGGCGAACAAAAGATCAAAATTTTGATAACATTTCAAAATAAAACATCAGCCATACATAAAAAAATATAGTGTATCCCATTTATATTTCTCCTTTCCTTTTCCTACATCTTGGATGAAAATTAGAAGAAAATGGATCCTTGTCTCCTTGTTAATAATAGTGATTTCATCAATAAAGATTAAGATGATAAGTAAATCTATAAATGAATATATCTATTTTTTTTTTTAATTTTACCTATCATAGTTGAGCTTCCTGGTGATGGATGTTACTCCTGATAATGTTGCTTGAATTGCCTCACCTCACTTCGAAGTTTTTGCGTCTCCTCCTCAAGTCTTGCAACTCAAGCAAATGCAATACCAATGTTATTGTTACTTGGAGTTGTGATGCTTTGAGGAAAATATCTGGTTGGAGTGACCCCAACCCCTTGTGTTCATAAAGCCTTTGATACTATTTTTAGATATTTTCTTTTGAAATGGTTAGCTCAAAAAGGCTTCCCTAATATTTTCATTTCTTGTATTGAAGGTTGTATTGAAGATATTTTCTTTTCTATTATCATTAATGGTACAATTGAAGGCTTCTTTAATTTCTTAATAGCCTTCGACAAGGGTGTCCTCTTTCTCCTTATCTTTTTTTGTATAATTATGGATGCTTTATCTAATCTCCTAGATGATAAGTCTCAAGTGGATAATTTTAATGGTATTAATTATGGAGATATTTCTATCTCTCATTTACTTTATGCAGATGATGTTCTTATATTTGGTAAAGCATCTATTTCTAATATGAAAAAATTAAAGGATATTTTGGATTATTTTTCTAGGACTTCGGGTTTATTTGTTAACCATGATAAAAGTACTATCAATTTCTCTAAAGGTTGTTCCATTTCCAAGGAAATTGGTCATATTTTGGGTATTACAATCTCTCAGACTTCTATGAAATATTTAGGGTTGTCTATATGTAGTAAAAGGCTTTCTCAGACTGATTTTTCCGTTTTTGCTTAATAAGATTAGAACTCTCTTTGCTGGTTGGAAAGTAAAATCTTATCTTTTGCTAGTAGAGTGTAATTTGTTAATTTTTCTATTTCTAATATTATTGCTTATTGGATTAGGTATTCCTAAAAGTTGTTTTAAGAAGGCCAATTCTAATTTTCTTTTTAATGGAGAAGCTTCAATTAGAAAAATTCATATGTTTCTTGGAAAGAGGTTTGTAAGCCTAAAAAGGTAGGGGTACTTGGTATTACGGATCCTATTGCTCTCTCTTACACTTGCAATTGTTTTCTTATTTGGCGTATTCTTAATTATAATGATCTTTTAGCTTCTTGGTTTAAGAGTAAATATATTTTTTGTTGAAAGCCTTGTTCACAAAAAAGATTCTAAGATTTGGAAAGATATTTGTGTTACTACTAGAGCTATTCAGGATAATATTTCATTTAATATTATGCCAAATAGTGCTTTATCCTTATATTGGGATCCATGGTTAAATGGGAAAGATCTTCAAGATTTAAGCGTGGCTATTCCAGAAAATTTGTTCAAAGTATCTATTGATGAATGGATTAGTAATTCTGCTTGGAATATTCTTGATTATGTTCCCATAAATATTGGTTTGAATATTTCAGCACTTTTTATTAAGTTTCAAGCTATTTCTAATATTTCTTGGGATATGGTGATGTATCCTTTTTTTAAGATGTTTTATAATTCTTTTTATAATAATTTTTCTAGAGTGGATTCGTTCTCTTATATTTGGCATTAGAGGCATGCTATGAGATTTTCTTGCTATGCTTGGATGGGTATTTTAAATGGGTTGAAAATGGATGATTTATTGGATAAAAAAATGTTCTTGTTATTTTATCTTGTATCTTTTGTTCTAAAGCTGATGAAATTCTTAATCATTTATTTTTTGAATGTGAATTTTCATTCCAAATTATATCTACTATTGTACCTATGTTAAGTTTTTTTTATGCTTAGACGACCTAATCTTGTTCAAATCTTAGAATTTATTTGGGATTCGAATTTGTTTTTAGATGCTAAATATTTGTTTCTTCTTTCTACTTATTGTATTATTTATTTCATTTTGAAAGAAAGGAATTTCATGAAGTTTTATTGTAAATTTTGTTATTCCAGCACTCTTTGTAAGAGTATTAAAGTTGCTATTAAGGCAAAAGTGTCCAATTGGGTTCTTATTACCAAATTGATATTTAGTTTATTATTGTGGTTTTTGGTTTTGGTTAGTTTAGGTTCGATTTTCTTGTTTAGTTTTAGTTTTTTTTTGTCTTTGACTATGATGTTGGATTTTCCTTGTCTTTTCTTCTTTGAATGGTTGTTTTGGCAACCAGGTGTTTCCTTGGAGGTTCAAGCCTAGCAACCAAAGTTGGATTGTTTGTTAGGAATTTTCTTTCCTGAGTCTTTTTATTTGTTGGCTTGTTCTTATTTTTCTGGGGGTTTTCTGTGTTTGGAGCTTTTATTAACAATTTGGCTTTATTAGTCAACCAACGCTCAATGTTTTGTCTGTTTTTGGTAGCTGTTGGGTTATTGTTCTTGCCAGTTGTCGGGTTGGTTGAAGGTTGTGTTGGTGTTTGCTTGAAGTTGGCTTATTCTTTGAGCTGGGTGCTTCTGTATTTGGAGCTTTTTGTTGGTTTGGCTCTGTGTTTGACCTATTTTTGGTGGTTGCTGGGAGTTGGCTTTTTAGTTTTGTTTGTTTGGTTTTCTGTTGATGATTTTTTTTTGGTAGGTGGTTGTTCTACGTGAGAACCTGGTTGTTTGGAGGTTGTACCGGTGTTTTCCTAGTCTTGGCTAGTTCTTTAGTTTGTAGAGAGCAATTTCGTTAGAGGAGTTTTTGACTGTAGAGCAGCTGGTCCTATTGGTGGATTCTTTGGAGCTGGGGTTGGCTCTTGTTTGGCAGCTAAAGGATTTTATTCTTTGACTATTTTTTATTCTTCTTTGTATTTAATATTAGCTTTCTAATCTTAATTAATTTTTCTCCTTTTCTAATGCGCTTTTGTTAAGTTGGCTTTAGGCTTTCTTTTAGATTTCTTTTATTTTTTTTCTTTCTTCAGTTTTGTAAGTTTTTCTTTATTTTTTCTTATCAAACTATTGTATCTTTTTTGTAAAATTTTATTTTTTGAATGAAATTGGGCATGTTTTGCCCCTATTTTTCAAAAAAAAAAGTTTTTTTCCCCTTTTTTTTAAAAAAAAAAAAAAAAAAAACTAGTTGTTTTACTTCATGAAAAAACCTTCCAAAGTTCAGATAGAAAGATTTTGCAGGAAAAAAAAAATGGCAATGGCTTAAATGTTAAGTATCCTCAATCTGCTCACAATTGATGAGAAGACAACATTTACACTAAAAAAATAAAGCAAAGAACTCAAGTAGTTAATCAAAGGCAAAATCTTATTGAACTAGTAAACAACTCAAGAGCTTATATGTATATCTTAGAGATAAGATAGAGAGAGAGTGTCACGACCCGACCCAAGACAGATCCCGCCCGCACCGGGCCGCGACCAGCTTAACGAACAGACAGATCAGGATCTGGCTTTGGAATTTGCTTCGGAACTGATTCTTCCAAATATTTCAACTCAAAAACAGACAAACACAGAGTCCCAGGACGATCCCAGATCGTCCTGGACGATCCTGGAGCAAAATCAGCACTTTACAGAGAGAGAGAGAGAGAGAGAGAGAGAGAGAGAGAGAGATTCCTAATCTTTTGATAAAAAATCCTTCACATAATAGAATGCATTTAAAAATATACCTTGCCAAAGAAGATGAGGGGGTCTAAAATTAAATTCCTTACAAATAGCCATCAAAATAGAAAGATGTGAGAGCATCAACTTGTGATCACATAAGCTTTCAAAAGAAAAGAAGACTATGATAAAGTTGAAGTTCTTAAGATAATTATTAGAAAATATAAGAAATGAGAAAGAAAACCACAAGCTCATATCATTACAAATGTAGCAAAAGAAGCATTGCAACATTTCATTGTTAATATCTTAGCTTTTGTTCTAATACCACTGATACCACATTATAATCACCTAAGTAAGAGGATTTGCTAGCTGATTAAAAAATATCCTCTAAGAATATAAAAAAATCATATATAATTGTTGCCTTTAGAAATACTTGAATCAAACACATCTCTATCCTTGACTTGTATGACAAAGTTCCCAACTTTATTTTTTACTTCTTGTATGAAAAAATGGGCTCAACTTGTAAAGAGAAAATAAATGGATCATCTTCCCATTTTTCACCTGTGTGTATCAAGCATGAAACGTTAACCAATGTAATTACATAATGATCTACTTTAGTGCCAGCTATAGTTGTATTAGCCCGAGTCACATTTGAATAAGACAATGTAAAATAAGTATGAGTAATTAATCTTAATATTACCATTCAATCAATCATAATAATAAAAGTTTCCAACTTCAATTTTGTTAACAACATCATGATTTTGTGTTTTCTTATTTTCATCTCAAGCTTC